ACATAAGAAATATTTCAATTTCTTTCTAGGCATAAATATCATTTACTTTACTACTGTTCCATTACACACAATGCCTGGTAGTTAGTCAAAGATTTTAAGACACACAGAACCAGATCTTAGAGATGGCCAAAATGTTGGAACTATCAGATAGAGACAAGATAGCTCTGATAAATATGTTGAAGGGTGCAGTGGAAAAGGTAGACTTCTAAAAACAGATGGGAAATTTCAGCAGAACAATGGAAACTATTAAGACTAGTCAAGTAGAAATGTTAGAAACAAACTCGGTATCAGTGATGAAGAATTCTGTCAATGAGTTTATTAGCAAAGTGGACACAGTAAAGTAAAGAATCCTTGAACTTGATGATAGTGTAATATAAATTATCCAAATTGAAATATAAAGAGTACCATCCTGGCTAACAAAATGAAACCCCGTCTCTACTAAAAATACAAAAAAATTAGCCGGGCGTGGTGGCGCCGCCTGTAGTCCCAGCTACTTGGGAGGCTGAGGCAGGAGAATGGCGGGAACCCGGGAGGCGGAGCTTGCAGTGAGCTGAGATCGCGCCACTGCACTCCAGCCTGGGCGACAGAGCGAGACTCCGCCTCAAAAAAAAAAAAAAAAAAAAAGAAATATAAAGAGTAAGAAGAGTGAAAATAAAAATTAACAGATTACCCAAGAACTGTGCAAATGGTCTGTATATATGTAATTGGAATCCTAGCTAAAGGAGAGAGAACAGAGAAGAATAAATAGAAACAGAAAGAATAGAAAATTAAAATTTTTAAAATGGCCAACTTTTTCCCCAAAACTAATAAAAGACAACAAACCACAGATCCAAGAAGCTCTGTAAAACCCCATGGAATAAATGCAAAGAAAAACACATCTAGATACATCCTAGTCAAACTGCTGCAGAACCAAAGATAAAATCTTGAAGTCAGCCAGAAAAAAAGAGCCATTGTACACAGAAAATGAAAGATACAAACTACAAGAGACTTCTTATCAGAAACTACCAAAACCAGAAGATAATGCAGCCATATCTTTCCATAAAAATCTGTCATTCTAAAACTCCATGCCCAAGGAAAATATCTTTCAAAAACGAAGACAAGGTCGGGTGCAGTGGCTCACACCTGTAATCCCAGCACTTTGAGAGGCTGAGGTGGGTGGATTGCTTGAGTCCAGGGGGTTCAAAACCAGCCTGGCCAACATGGCGAAAACCTGTCTCTACAAAATATACAAAACTTAGTCAGGCATGGTGGCATGCACCTGTAGTCCCAGCTATTCAAGAGGCTAAGGCTGGAGGATCACTTGAGTCCAGGAGGTCAAGATTGCAGTGAGCCATGATCATGCCACTGCACTCCAGCCTGGGTGACAGAGAAAGACCCTGTATCAAAAAAAAAAAAAAATGAAGACAAAATAAGAACTTCTTCAGATGAGCAAGGAGTTAGAGAATTCATTGCCAGCAGATTGGCACTAAAATAAATATTGAAGAAAATTCTTAGGGCAGAAGAAAAATTACGCCAGTTGGAAATTTGGACTCAAACAAAGAAATGAAGAGTATTTTAATTGGCAAAAATGTGTCAAATATAAAATAAATTTCCTTGGTTTTAATGTCTGTTTAATGTAAAAACAGTAACAATGCATTGTGGGGATCATAGCGTATGTAGAAGTAAAAGTATACCACAAAAATAGCACAACAGGCAGGAGAGCAGAAATGGAATTATTTGGTTGTGAGGTTCTTAAACTATATTTTAAGTATTGTAATGTTATTTGAAAGTAAATTGTGGAAAGTTAAATATGTGTATTTAAATCCTACAGTGCCATTACAAAAAAGGAAAAATTATAAGATATAGCTAGTAAGGCAATAGTAGAGATAAAAGAATATTATGAAACCTGCTCAATCCAAAATAAGATAGGACAAGAAGAAAAAGAAACAAAGAACAGATGGAATAAAGAGAAAACAAATAGCAAGATGGTAGATATAAACCAAATCATGTAAATAATTACATTAAGTATAGTCTAAATGCTCCAATTAAAAGGCAGAAATTGTCAGACTGGATTATAAAAGCAAAACCTAACTACATATTGTCTTCAAGAAACACGTATCAAATATAAAGACACCAATAAATTACATGTAAAATGATGGAAAAAGATATACCAATCATAAGTGTATTAGTCCAGCCTCACGCTGCTATAAAGAGCCGTCAGAGACTGGGTAACTTATAAAGAAAAGAGGTTTAATTGACTCACAGTTCCACAGGCATGGCTGGGGAGACCTTAGGAAACTTAACAATCATGGCAGAAGGTGAGGGGAAAGAAAGCACGTCTTCACATGGCAGCAGGGGAGACAGAGAGAGAAGGGGGAAGTGCCACACACTTTTAAACCATCAGATCTTGTGAGAACTCACTCACTATCAGGAGAACAGCAAGGGTGAAATCTGTCCCCATGATCCAATCACCTCCCACTAGGTCCCTCCCCAATACTGAAAAATTACAGTTCAACATGAGATTTGCATGGGGACCCAGAGCCAAACCATATCAATAAGTAAGATGGAATAGCTATATTAATATCTGAAAAAGTAAACTTTAGGATAAGGAATTTTACCAGGGATAAAGATTATACAATACTAAAGACTAATTCATCAAGAAAATGTAACAATCTTTAATGTATGTGCACCTAATAACAGAGCTTTGAAAAATAAAGCAAAAATTGATCACGCTAAAGGGAGAAATTGACAAAGCAACACTTATAGTTGCAAAATACAATATTTGTCTCTGAGTAATTGACAAAAGTAGACAAAAATTGATATAGAAGATGTATCAGTCCATTCTCACGCTGCTATGAACAAATACCCAAGACTGGGTATATAATCACGGAGGAAGGGCACCTCTTCAAAGGGTGGCAGGAGACAGATGGTTAGCAAGGGAAAAACCAGATGCTTATAAAACCATCAGATCTCGTGAGAACTCACTATCACGAGAGCAGCATGGGAGAAACTGCCCCCATGATCCAATCACTTCCCATCAGGTCCCTCCTGTGACACATGGAGATTACAGGAACTACAATTCAAGATGAGATTTGGATGGGGACACAGCCAAACCATATCAGAAGACATGAATGACACTATTAACTATCTTCTTTATATAGAACACTCTCCTAATTACATCAAAATATATCTTCTTTTCAATTACAACAGGAAACATTCACAAAGATAGACCATATTCTGGGCCATAAAATAAATCTCAATAAATGTAAAAGGATTAAAAGCACACAAAGTAAGTTCAGTAACCACCAGGAACTTAAACTAGAATTCAAAAACATAAAGATGCCTCAAAAAATCCTCCAAATATTTGGAAATTAAATAATACACTATTAACCCATGAGTCAGAGACAAAATCACAAGGGAAATTATAAAATATATTCAACTGAATAAAAATGAAAACAACATAATATTTGTGGGATGCAGCTAAAGCAGAGCTTAGAGAAAAATTTATAGCACTAAATGCTTACATTAGGAAAGATGAAGGATTTCAAGACAGTGATGTAAGCTTCCACCTTAATAAATATAAAAAGAAGAGCAAACTAAGCACAAAATAAGCAGAAGGAAAAATAATAAAGATAAAATTATAAATCAATAAAATAGAAAATGCAGAAGGAGTAGAGAAAAATCAGTGAAACCAAAAGCTGATTATTTGAAAAGCTCAATAATATTGATAAGTCTCTAGCCAGAATGACAAAAGGGAAAAAAAGACAAGGTACAATGACCAGTTATCAGCAATAAAAGAGGGGCTATCACTACAGAACCTGCAGGTATCAAAATTAGGAGAATATTATTAATAATGTATGGCAATAAATTACATAACTTAGGTGAAATTTTAAAAATTCCTTGAAATACACAAACTACCAAAGCATACTCAAGAAAAGATAGAAAATAGGAATAGTCCTTCACTGATTAAAGGAACTAGATTTGTAATTTAAAAACCTTCCCACAAAGAAACACTAGGCCCAGATGGCCGCACTGGTTAATTCTTCCAAACATTTTAAAAAGTTATAATATCAAGTCTATAGAAACTCTTACCAAAAAATAGAAGACAAGGCCGGGCACGGTGGCTCACACCTGTAATCCCAGCACTTTGGGAGGCCGAGGTGAGTGGATCACGAGGTCAGGAGATCGAGACCATCCTGGCTAACATGGTGAAACCCCGTCTCTACTACAAATACAAAATATTAGCCAGGCGTGGTGGCGGGCGCCTGTAGTCCTAGCTATTCGGGAGACTGAGGCAGGAGAATGGTGTGAACATGGGAGGCAGAGCTTGCAGTGAGCCGAGATCGTGCCACTGCACTCCAACCCGGGCGACAGAGCAAGACTCCATCTCAAAAAAAAAAAAAAAAAGTACGAGACAAAATAAGTAATGATAACAGTCCTAAATGTATTCCTTTAGAAAATAAAAGGGAAAATGCTTCCAAATTCATTTTAGAAGGCTAATATTACCGTAGTACCAAAACTAGCCACAGACACAGACCAACACCCCTCATGAATATAGTCCAATCCCAATTAAAATCACTGCAGGATATTTTGTAGAGAATGACAAGCTGACTATAAAATGTATATGTAAGAACAAAGGATCTTGAATAGACAAAACAATTTTGATAAAGAAGAATGAAGTTGGAGGAGTCACACTACTTGATTTCAAGGCTTACTATAAAGCTACAATAATCAAGACAGTGTGTTACTGCCATAAGCACAGATATAGAGATAAATATAACAGAATAGAGAGTCCAAAAATTTGTTCATATATTGATTTTTTGTCGATTAATTTTTGACAAAGATGCAAAGGTAATTCAGTAAAGAAAGGATAATTGATTCAACAAGTAATGATGGAACAATTGGATATCTCACGCCAAAAAAAAAAAACCATCTTGAATCCATATCTTGAAGCACATACAAAATTTAACTCAGAATGGATCACAGACACAAATAACAAGACTAAAACTGTACAGGCATACCTGACTTTACTGTATTTTGCAGATCTTGTGGGTTTTTTTTACAAATTGAAGACTGTCTATCAAGGAAGTCTATCTGCACCATTTTTCCAATAGTACGTGTTCACTTAATGGCTGTGTCCTATTTTGGTGATTCTCATAATATTTCAAACTTTTTCATCATGATTATATCTGCTGTGGTGATCTGTGAACAGAGATCTTTGATGTCACTATTGTAATTGTTTCGGAGTACCACAAACTGCGCCCATATAAGATGGCAAACTTAACCAATAAATGTATACATTTTGACTGCTCTACCAACCAGCGATGTTCCCCTGTCTCTCTCCCTCTTCTTGGGCCTCCCCATTCCCTAGGATACAACAATATCAAAATTAGAACAATGAATAACTCTACAATGGCCTCTAAGTGTTCAAGTAAAAGAAAGAGTCGCACATCTCTCACTTTAAATCAAAAGCTAGAAATGTTAAGCTCAGTGAGGAAGACATGTCAAAACCCAGATAAGCCAAAAGCTAGGCGTCTTGCACCGAACAGTTCACCAAGTTATGAATGAAAAGGAAAAGCTCTTAAAGAAAATTTAAAGTGCTACTCCAGTGAACACATGAAGCGAAACAACCTTATTGCTGATATGGAGAACGTTTCAGTGATCTGGATAGAAGATCAAACCAGCACCCCCCGCCAACACTTCCTTAATTAAGCCAAAGCCTAGTTCAGAGCAAGGCCCTAACTCCTCAATTCTATGAAGGCCAAGATGGATGAGGATGCTGAAAAAAAGATGGAAGCTAGCAGAGGTTGGTTCATGAGGTTGAAGGAAAAAAGCCATTTCCATGACATAGCAGTACAAAGTGAAACAGCGAGTGCTGATGGAGAAGCAAGTTATCCACAAGAACTAGCTAACATCATGCATGAGGGTGGCTACATTAAACAACAGAATTTCAGTGTGGATGAAATAGCCTCATATTGGAAGCAGATGCCATCTAAGAGTTTCATAGCCAGAGAGAAGAAATCAATGCCTGGCTTCAAAGCTTCAAAGGACAGGCTAATTCACTTGCTAGCAGGTAATGCAGCTGGTGACTTCGAATGGAAGCCAATACTCATTTAACATCCTGAAAATCCTAAGTCTCCTAAGAATTATGCTAAATCTACTTTGCCTGTGCTCTACGAATGAATAACAAAGCCTGGATGACAGCAATCTATTTATAGCATGGTTTCCTGAATATTTTAAACCCACTGTTAAGACCTACTGTTAAAAAAAAAAATTTATTTCAAAATATTGCTGCTCATTGACAATGTACCTAGTCACCCAAGAGTTCTGACAGAGATGTACAAGGAGATTAATGTTGTTCTTGTGCTGCTAACACAACATCCATTCTGCAGTCCGTGGATCAAGGAGTCATTTTGACTGTCAAGTCTTATTATTTAGGAAACAAATTTCCTAAGGCTATAGTTGTCATAAATAGTGACTTCTCTGATGGATGAGGGCAAAGTCAATTGAAAATCTTCTGGAAAGGATTCACCCTTCTAGATGCTGCAAGAACATGTGTGATTCATGGGAGGAAGTCAAAATATCAACATTAACAGGAGTTTGGAAGAGGTTGATTCCATGCTTCATGGATGACTTTGAGGGGTTCAAAACTTCAGTGGGGAAAGTAACTACAGATTTGATGAGAATAGAACGAGAACTAGAATTAGAAGTGGATCCTGAAGATGTGACTGATTTGCTGCGGTCTCATGATCAAAGTTGAATGGATGAGGAGTCACTTCTCATAGATGAACAAAGAGTGGTTTTTTGAAATGGAATCCACTCCTGGTGAAGATATGGTGAACACTGTGGAAATGACCACAAAAGATTCAGAATATTAAATAAATGTAGTGGATAAAGCCCCTGCAGGGTTTGAGAGGACTGACTCCAGTTTTGAATGAAGCTCTACTGCGAGTAAAATACTATCAAACAGCATCACGTGCTACAGAGAAACATCTTATGAAAGAAAGAGTCAATTGATGTGGCAAACTTCACTGCTGTCTTAAGAAATAGCCAGCCACCCCAACCTTCAACCACCACCACCTTGATCAGTCAGCAGCCATCAGCATCAAGGCAAGATCTTCCACCAGCAAAAATTGTGTGATTTGTTGAAGGCTCAGATAGATTGTTAGTATTTTTTAGCAATAAAGTGTCCTTTAATTAAGGTATGTACATTTTTAGACATAATGCTTTTGCACACTAAATAGACTACAGTATAATGTAAACATAACTTTTTTCGTGTGTGAGACAGAGTCTCACTCTGTCGCCCAGGCTGGAATGCAGTGGCACGATCTCAGCTCACGGCAACCTCTGCCTCCGCCTCCTGGGTTCAAGCGATTCTTCTGCCTCAGCCTCCCGAGTAGATGGGATTACAGGCACACACCACCATGCTCAGCTAATTTTTGTATTTTTTGGAGAGACGGGTTTCACCATGTTGGTCAGGATGGTCTCGATCTCCTGACCTCGTGATCCGCCTGCCTCGGCCTCCCAGAGTGCTGGGATTACAGGCATGAGTCACCGCACCCGCCGTAAGCATAACTTTTATATGCACTGGAAAACCAAACAATTTGTGTGACTCACTTTATTACCATATTTGCTTTACTGTGGTGGTCTAAAACCAAACCCACAATATCTCCAAGATATGTCTGTAAAACTCCTTGAAAAAAACAAAAAAGAAAATCCTTCTCACTTAGGTTATGCAAAGATTTCTTAGAAACAACACCAAAAACATGATCCATGGCAATGACAACAACAAAAAACTGATAAACTGAATTTCATCAAAATTAAAACTTCTGCTTTTTGAAGGTCATGGTTAGGAAAATAAGAGGATAAGCCACAGACTGGGAGAAAACATTTACAAACACGTATCTGATGTTTTTAAAAAATTGTATGTGGACTACATAAAGAACCCTTACACAACTAATAACAGGACAAACTACCCAATAAAGATAGGAAAAGATTTGAACAATCACTATACCAACGAAGATGTACAGATGGGTCGGGCATGGTGGCTCACACCTGTAATCCCAGCACTTTGGGAGGCCAAGGCAGGTGGGTCACCTGAGGTCAGGAGTTTGAAACCAGCCTGGCCAACATGATGAAACCCCTATCTCTATTAAAAATATAACAATTAGCCAGGTGTGGTAGCAGGTGCCTGTAATCCTAGCTACTCGGGAGTCTAAGGCAGGAGAATTGCTTCAACCCAGGAGAAGGAGGCTGCAGTGAGCTGAGATCATGCCACTGCATTCCAGCCTGGGTGACAGAGCTGGACCTACATGTTTAAAAAAAAAAAAAAAAACCTATAGATGCAAATAAGCACATGAAAAATGCTCAATATCATTAGTCATTAGAGAAATGCATATAAAAACCACAATGAGATATCACTACACACCTTCTAGAATGACTAGGATTAAAATGACTGGTAATACAAAGTATTACGAGGATACAGAACAGCTGGAAGTCTCATTCACTCCTGGAGGGAATGTAACATGGAAGTGGAATCTAGGAAAGTCAAAACTATTGGATCAGAGAACAAATCAGTAGTTGCCAGGGAGAAGGTAAAAGATATTAACTACAAAAGGGCCCGAGATAACTTTTCAGGGGACAACAATGTTCTATATTTTGATTGTGATATACATGTATACATGACGGTACACATCTGTCAAAATGCACCAAACTGCTCTCCAAAAGGGTGAATTTTATTGTATGTATACCTCTATAGACAAGACTTTAGAAATCCAACTAAAAAAACATATTAAGAGGATGAAGAAGAGGAAATAGGGGAGGGAGGGCAAGAGAACTGATGATCCTCCTCTTAGAAGAAAGAAAGTCAATGAAAACTTGCAAGGCTTCAAAGAGGGAGAGCCACAAAACTCAAAACACCTGTTTGATGGTAGTGGCAGAGGAAAGTAGTTAAGAACATGAGTTTTCATTTTTCCACCACTGGATCTGCAAAAATCTGAAATATGATAGCACCCAGTGAGTCTGTGGGGACAGGCACATTCCCGCACTCTCCGTCTAAGATCTGAGCATCATCTGCAAGGGGGCGGCTTAGCAACACATTCGAACTTTATGTTCTGAATATCCTTTGAGCCAGGAAACTCATTCTTATGAATTTATCCTATGGAAAGAACAGGGCAAGCCAGGATTATACACATACAAGAATATTTAGAGTAGTATTGTTAATAAAGAAAAGTTGAAAGCTATGTGAACATCTATCAATAGAAGAATAAATAAATTACACTCCAGTGCCATTCTGGAAAACAGTTCAACAGTTTCTTATAAAACTAAACATGTACCTATCATATGACCCAATAATTGCACTCTTGGGCTTTTATCCCAGAGAAATGAAACCTCGTATTCACACAAAAACCTGTATATGAACAGTCATCGCAGCTTTATTCATAATAGCCTCAAAGTGGGTGAAAATGGTTAAATGGTGATACATTTACCCTCTGAAATACAATTCTCAGCAGTTAAAAAAATGAATTTCTCAAAAAAAGCTACTGACACACACAACTTGGACGGATCTTAAAGGAATTATCATGAGCCAAAAAAAAAAAAAAGCCGATCTGAAAATCGGCTGTGTGATTCAATTTATGCAACAGTCTTGAAATGACAAAATGATAGAGATGGAAAATAGATTAGTGGTTGCAAAGGGTTAGGGAGGGGGAGTCTGTTTCTTTAAAGGTCTTGCACAAGGGATCCTTGTGGCGATGGAACAGTTCTGTGTCTTGATTGTGGTGCTGTTTACAGGAATCTTTTATTTTATGTCATGAAATTGCAAGGCAAACGGTCTGGCAGTTTCTTATAAAGTTAAAACACACTTACCAAAGAACCAGCATACATAAATGAGTGTCTATAATACAGAATGAAGTCTGTGAACTATACCAAAGACAATTTCCTGGCTTTGATATTACACTGTAGGCATGCAAGATGTTACTACTGGAGAATAAGTGAAGAGTATACAAAACCTTCTGTACTATTTTTTGCAACCTTCTGTGCATTTATAATTTTTTTCAAAATTAAAAGTTAAAATATGTAACAGATTGTCATTTCACTATTAAGAATTATGTGTATTCTTTCAAAAAAAAAAAAAAGATGCGTATAGCCGGGCACCATGGTTTGCACCTGTAATCCCAAACTAAGACAGGAGAATTGCTTGA